ATCCTAAAAAAATAACACTGAGCCAAACACACATGCTAAAAAACAACTTACTGACACATAGTAAGAGATGGTTATAAAAACCGAAACAGAAGTGAAACAAGTAATAGGAATTTATTAAGTTAATGAAGATTGTTTCATTGTTTTAATGCATGCCAGTGTTATCTTGTTTACGTAGCCATCTAACAAAATAATGTTTTTAAAGAATTCTATTATGCTCTTTAAGCCTGCATTTATTTGATCCAAAATACAGCAAACGCAGTAATATTGTGAAATATTTTTACTATTTAAAATAACTGCTTTCTATTTTAATATATTGTGAAATGTAATTGATTGCTGTGATCAAAGCTGTTTTTTCAGCATCATTACTTCAGTCTTCAGTGTCACATGATCTTCAGAAATCATAATAATATGCTGATTTGCTGCTCGAGAAACATTTCTGATTATTATTATTATTATTATTAACAATAATAATATTTAAAACAGTTGAGTGAATTTTTTTCAGGATTCTTTGATGAATAGAAAGATCCAAAGATCAGCATTTATCTGAAATAAAAAGCTTTTGTAACATTATACCATTTTTGGGAAAGAAATTATAGAAATTAATACTTTTATTTAACCAGGATGCTTTAAATTGATCAAACGTGATGATAAAGACATTTATAATGTTACAAATGCTTTCTATTTCAGATAAATGCTGTTCTTCTGAACTTTCTATTCATCAAAGAATCATGAAAAAGTTCTACTCAGCTGGTTTCAACATAATAATAATTATAAATGTTTTTTTTGAGCAGCAAATCAGCATATTAGAATGATTTCTGAAGATCATGTGACACTGAAGACTGGAGTAATGATGCTGAAAATTCAGCTTTGATCACAGGAATAAATTATATTCTATCATATATTCAAATAGAAATCAGTTATTTTAAATAATACAATATTTCACAATATTACTGCTTTTGCTGTATTTTGTATCACATAAATGCAGGCATGGTGAGCAGAAGAAAAAACATTAAAAATCTTAACTGTTCTAAAAACATTTAGTCCCATTAACCTTCTATGGTTCTAACCATGAAATATTTTTTCAAATAAGTTTTTATTACATGAAATAGCTTCAATCATACAAATCAAAACAGATTTTTGAAAAACATTTTTTTTTTAGAACTTGATAGATTTACTTGGAACTCATGCAAACCAAAAATAAGTCGATCCTTATCCTTTAACCTTCACTGAAGACTCACTGAACTCATCCTCACGCTCATCACATCTGCACTCTTCCTACTGGCCTTTCCGTAAAATAGAAGAAGAAATCATTTTGTTATTTATACATAAATACAGCACTCTTAAAAATAAAGGTTCTTTCGATGGTTCCATGAAGAACACTGTAAAAAATGACTGTGAATTTGATGGTAAATTACTGTAAAAATGCTACAGTAAAAACCTGTTAAATGGTTAACGGTAAATTCCCCTACTATATACGGTGAAAAACTGTATTGGACATGTAATTTTACTGTAGTATACCGTTTTTGGAAGTGAAAAATACGGTATAATTTACAGTGAATAACCGTAAATTGACATTCCCAGAAATTTTTAAGAGTGAAGTATGCTACAATAAACAATTCAAACACTTAAAAAAATTATTTATATATAATTTTCTTGTGTTTGTATTCTTTAATAATTGCACTGTCCATGGAGCGGACCTGACTTACATTTCACTGCTGGTCATATATTCCCTATATAACCATGTATGTAACAAATAAAAATCTTGAATCTTGAATCTTGAATCTTGAAATAAATAAACTGCAATCATATTATTGATGCTACTATCAATAAAAAATCCCAATGGGGAAATACATTACTGCAGTTCCACTGTGGCACAGCGTTGCCATATGGAAACATTGATATTTTCTCAATTTACAGTAAAACTATGTTAGACAAAGTTAAATTGTGAATAAAAATATCTAATTTACTTAACACAGATGCTGAAAAAAATCCCCCTTGACAAGAGATGTATAGAAATGAGGTTAATAGAGCGATTTCTGGAGCACTTCAGCAGGTGTGAGAAAGAGTTCTGGACTGACATTCAAATGTCATGTGACTTAAAAACAGCACATCATTGTCTACACTGTAAAAAATTTTTTTTAAAATTTACGGTAAAACACGGGCAGCTGTGGTTGCCGGAATTTTACCGTAAAAACTTCACACAAACACTAAACACCATCATGGTAACACACATGAAACTGAAATAATGCAATAAATATTCATTTAACAACATTAGGTGTAACACACAACCCTAATATACAAAACTGATAAGAAAAAACTAAGATGAAACATAGATATTTCAACAAAAAAACATCAAATTTGAAATGTAACGCAGGGAATTCTGGGAATGTCAATTTACGGTTATTCGCTGAAAAATTATAAGGTCTTTTTCACTTCCAAAAACGGTATACTACTGTAAAATTACATGTAATGTCCAATACAGTTTTTCACCGTATATAGTAGGGGAATTTACCGTTAACCATTTAACAGGTTTTTACTGTAGCATTTTTACAGTCTTTTACCTTTAAAATCACGGTCATTTTTTACAGTGTACCTAAAGGCCCTTTCAATTCCCATAGTACAGTAGTATATTGTATTTTTTTCAGAATAACAAGGAAATAAATAGAAATTAATTCTTGCCATATGGCAACTCTGCACCATAAAGGGTTAAAGGAACATTCCATTTAATAATTTTGTAAACATCACGAGAACATAACTTTTGGAATGTTCTCTGAACGTTCCGAAACGAATAAGAATGTGAACATCCAACCAAACGTTTCAGAACTAAAACGTTCCACGAATTATGCGAATTAAATAGCGTTTTTGTGCTGACGTTTTGAGAATGTTATCACACGCCAGATAACTCTGAACAAAATGTTTTATTAATGTTACGTTTGTTCATAACTTTGAATGAACCTCGGCAGAACGCTTGACGTTCTGAGAACATTGTTAGCTGGGTATTACAAATACATAATGACAGTGGAATTTTAATTTGGGGCACAGAAATCACCAAAATATTCTATTTTACTTCTAATAGAACATCATTTTAAATTTATAAAAAAAAAAAAATAGAAAATTTAGTTTAAAAAAATAGAAAATCACTGGGAGAAACAAACAAACACACATACATTGTGCCTTTTATGTGTCTGAGATTTTATATTATTAATGAAATTATTTTTTTTTATTATCATTTTATGTGTGTTTTCTTATATTGTTCTGTTTCTTTTCTCCCTCATATTGCCTGCGGTTGTTCCTGGCGTGTAGGTGGCTGACATCAGGCTGTCTGGCGATGAGTTTTTATAGTTGTGCTGTGGGTGTATGACTTTGACATTAGAAGATGAAGTAGACTAATACATGAACTACCAGGACTTCATCGGGTGGATGTGATGTAACACAGTTAGAAACAACTAATCTACTTGTGGACTTTAAGAGACATTTGGGCTGTGAAGGTCAAGATGCTGATTTCCATCATTCAAAAGGAAATAAACATCTTGACCTTCACATTGATTTAAATTAATCTATTCCATTCTGAATGTTTCCAACGTGTCCCTTTGTCCCCCCCCCCAAAACCAGATTGAATTTAAAATAGCATCATATTCAAAGGCCGGAAATGAAAGCAAAGTAAAACTCTTAAAATCTAACATTACTAAAAATAGGTATTAATATTTTAATTCTCTGTGTACACATGTGTCACTAACAAAACAGGTATTTTTTTTTTTTTTGCAAAAGTATATTTTTTCATCTATCCAATCCATATTTCCATCTTAAATGATCGCTGTTCATTTGTCCGCTAGGTGGTGTGAGTGATTTGATCGTGTTTATGGCGGTGCAAACACATGAAAAGGTGAATATATTGAATTCCTTAACTTAATATATTCCGCGTTTTTGTCAATGCCATGCAATTACATTTTTAAATGTATATAATACATTGATTTAACTGATAATAATCAGAAATGTTTCTTGAGCAGCAAATCAGCATATTATACTGATTTCTGAAGATCATGTGACACTGAAGACTGGAGCAATGATGCTGAAAATACAGCTGCGCATCACAGAAATACATTACAGTTTAACAGATATTCACATAGAAAACAGTTACTTTAAATTGTAATAATATTTCACAATATTACGATGTTTACTGTATTTTTGATCAAATAAATGCAGCCTTGGTGAGACGTTTTTCAAAAACATAAAAAAAAAAAAAGAATTATTCCAAACCAAGTTTTACATCACACAAATTAATGTTATTTTTAAATATATTCACATAGAAAACATTTATTTTAAATTGTAATAATATTTCACTGTATTACTGTTTTTACTGTATTTTTGATCAAATAAATGCAGCCTTGGTGAGTTAG